CCATGCAACGCGCCCAGTCGCAGTCGTCGCTCAGCCGCAAAGCCACCGACGACAAGGCGGCCAAGGCTGGCGCCAACGCCGCAGGCAACTCGGGCAGCGCGACACCCAACGGCAAGAACCAGGACGTTTGGCCCGATGATGTCGAAGTGGCTTTCTGGGAAGGTATGTACAAGTCTCTATCTGCGCCTCATTCGATGCCCTGTGAAATGTTCGAGAGCATGCTTCTTCGCGCTCCGCGGTGGTGGCACTGTTGGATGGGCTGAAGCTCGGTCGGGCCTGGCGCTCAAAAGTTGCCAGACGCGTCTCGGCGAAATTTCAATCTCCGAAATTCGCGGCTGCAGCTGGCGACATGAGCCCGGCTCGGCCTTCATGTGTTGAGCATGCGGGGTCGGGTTGCGTTCTCGTCATACGCCGAGGACCACCATCCCCGAGCCGTCGAAGCTGCTTCTTTCTGCCTGTGCTGCATGCGGATGCAGCGCGAGGGGCTGCTTCATGGCAATTTGGATGCTCAAAGTCAAGCCCAAAACGGAACGCTGACCCCTTCTTACCCTTCCCGTCTCCATCTTGCCCCTCGACCACCACCACCGTCTCCTCCTCATCACCTTTCTCCGTCTTCGTATTGCATCGCATCCTCTCTCCTTTGCCCTCCCACCTTGTCTCCCTTGTTGCGCTGGCTCGCGACTCGACGTGGACGATCCGTGATACCCTTTAGCTCTCCGTCTAATTCCCAAGCTCGGTCGCCGAAAGGTGCTGGTGCATGGCAAGCCGTGCGGTCGTAACGAGCTCATCGCCGACTACATCGAGCGCAAGACCAACAAGGTGCGCACGCGCAAGCAGGTCTCGAGTCACATCCAGGTGCTCAAGAACATTCGCAAGGGTGATCCCGAATTCCAGCAGCTCATCGCCGAGCCCACCACCGAGGAGGACTTTTACATCCCTGCCGGTGGCATGATGTATGCACAGACGCTTGCAGGCTACGGCTACGGTGGTCTTGGCAGTGCCTATCCGCTCATGTCCATGGACAACGCCGGTGGCCTGCTCTCCCCATATACCCCAGGCCTCACTGGTGGCCAAGGCCTTGCCAGCCCTCTCTCGCCCGGTGCGCCACCCATGTCGGCGACGCACTCCATCACCTCGGGCTTGAACAACCTTCACTTCCCGCAGCAGACTGGAGTCAAGGACACGAGCGGCAACACGCCGTGCCCGATCCTGCCCGCGAGCTTCTCCATGTGGGTGCACTGCTCGTCTGGCGACGAGAAGCACGTCTACACCAACCTCGACAGGAACTCGATGACAACCTACGCCAACAACCAGACGTCATTGCCCCAGATGACGCTCGACTCGGTGCGCGTGGGTCATTTCCGTTTCCCTCGTCTCGCAGAGATGTACCACCGCATGCCGTGCCAGTTCCTCCACGTGCATGTGCCGCTCTCGGTGCCGCGTCACGACGTCATGATGCCGCGCTACGACCACTTCAGCACCCAGCTCTCGCTGACGTCGGCGCAAGACTTGCGACTCACCTCGGTCACTACTGTGTACTCGCACGGCAAGCGCGTTCTGTCGCTCGTCGAGCCCCTCGACGCTCCGCGCAAGATTTCGGGCAGGAATGGCGTCGAGGTTGCCGCCACCAGCACGGTGGGTGCCGGCGCTGCAGCCAACGACGAGGCTGCCAAGGCGTCGAGCGAGGCAGCAACCAACGAGGCGGGTTCGTTCGAGGAGGCCATGACCTCGACCCCGACCAAGGGCAAGAGCAACCAGCGACGCGAGAGCGACGGCAGCATTGACTCGCTCAGTCCCATCTCGGGCACGTCGAGTGGTCCCGCTTCGCCACGCACGCCTCTGGATGCCAACAACCAGTCCAACAGCAACCTTCGCCACCGCTGGTGCCATCAGGCTCCGTTCGCCACGGACTTCTGGGCCGACTTCCTGAGCCGCAACCACCCCGTCAACGTCTACAGCGGTCGCGACGGACTGCAGTCGTTCGGCAAGGAGCCGAGCGAGCGAGCTGCTCTCGGCATGGCTGTGTCGGGCGTCACCATCATCCAGGAGCTGGTGGTGGCGAGCGAGGACAAGAGCTCGGCTGCTGCCGCTGCCGCCAACCGCGACGCTGCACTGCTCAACGACGCTAGCTCGAGTCTGAGCCCTGGTAGCAAGGTTGGCGATGTTGTGTTGGTGATCGCATGGGACCTCGAGTGCGTCGAGTCGCTCGGCACCACTCCGGGTACGCCCACCGTCTCGCTCTTGACGGTCGGCTCCGGTGCTTCGCCGATGGGTCGAACGGCTCCGCTGGTGGCCTCGCCTCTGAACCAGCCAGGCGCCCAACTGCACATGGCGCCGCACGGTCTGTCTCCCATGACGGCGGCATTCCCCAACGGCCATCCGCTGGCGCACCAGCCGCAGCCTCAGCTCAACATGCTCAACGGCGGAGCTGCACCGCGTGGCTATGCGCATGCCCACCCGCCCCCGTCGCTGATCCAGACGCAGCCCTCGCCGCAGCCTAGCTTCGGCTTCAAGGCCGAAGCGGGCCAGGGTGGCTCCGAGACGAACCTGCAGGCGCCTACGCTGCTGCGCAAGCGCGGACTGTCGATGACCAAGCCCAACCTCATGGTGTCGATTCCGCCAGCGCCGGCGTACCTAAACCCGCAGAGGAGTGCGAGTGGAGCGATGCTCAGCCCGCACCCTCAGCTGTCGCCTGCCGCGAGCCCGACGCCGGCGGCGTGGGGGATGATCCAGCAGAGGGCGGTGCACACGCCCATCACGCCGTACCCGCAGATGGGCGCGTCGCTGTGCGAGCCGCCGCCGCTCAACACGGGCGACGACGCACGCATGCAGAAGGAGCGCCTCGAGAGGCACTGGGCCAGCCAGGCAAACCCTCTCGGTGGCGCGCTGCACTCGCCGCTCGACATGAGCTTCAACCCATCGGACGTCAACGTATCCACGGCCAGCACCGGCATGGCCGTAGCGACGGCTGCGGGGCACACCGACTCGGCGCTCGGGCTCATGGTGCCTGGCAGCATGGGCAACAACGGCCTGGCGCTGCTCTCGCCCGCCGGCTTCGACACGATGGGCAAGATGGGTGGCCACATGTCCGGCCTGGACTCGAGCAACAACAGCTTCGAGCAGATGCTCAACGACGGCGACCTGAGCAACGACGCCAGCACGCAGGAATACCTCAACGGCCTGCTTGCCTCGATCGGCGTCGAAGGCCAGGATTTTAGCGCCTGAGCCACATCCCGTCTACAAGATCTCCCTCCCTCTTCTCTCTTTATCTCTTTCCCCACCTTTCCTGCATTCTGGGGCTGCTATCTGCAAAACAGCTGCCAGCTGGTCTGGGGGCTGAGCTCGGTCTCTTCCTCCGTGGCCATTGGCAGCAACGTGCTCTGTCTTCCTGCTCTTTCTGGTCATGGGTCTCTCGCCTATCTTGCTTATCTCGCACGCTTTGTACCTGCTCATTTCGTTGCCTCCTCTAGTTCCTTGCCACGATCCGCCTGGCTCCGAAGCGCCAACTCTGTATCTCTACCATCGCATTCTCCGTTAAACAGTCTCGTCTTCACCCCGACCTTGCCCGTTCTGTCTTGGCTTGTGCATTTCGAGTCTGCTGGGAGGATCGTGTGACCCGCTGGCAAGCTCGGGCTCGACGGAGGCCTAACATCCGGAAACTGGCACTCTACGCGTCGCGCTTCCAAACGCGAAGGAGACATGCAAAGCGCGACGGATTCGGGCGAGAACGATGGCTTTGTGGAGCTGAGTTCAACGCGAGCTGCACCGACCTCTCGGTGTGGACGGGCCCACAAGATGAATTTCGGCCAAAATTGCCGACGCGCGCCAAAACAAAAGCAGCGCTGTGCAGCTGCGATTTTTTCTCAGCCAAAAAATGCATGTTTATTTCGAGCGAATCAACTGCCCAGCGCAGTGTCATTTTTTCTGAGCCAATTTGGAGGATGGAATGCAGTTCTGCAGACGCTCCACACCCGCGGAGGGCAGAGAGGGAAGCCGAGTTAACCTTTCGGCGAGGATGACTGGTCAGGCAGCCGGTGGGTGTTCTTCATCATCCCCGCAAGCCAGGCTGCAGCGTGCAGAGAAGGCGCAGCCCGGCAAATACAGGCGACGCTGCCTTCCGCAACCAACACCACCATTACCAACGACCCACTCGCAGCTCGCACCTCTCCATAACTGTCTCGTATCGCATCGTCTCGTCGCAACTCCACCGTCATTCCGTCCCCTGCATCGCTTCTGCCTCGTCTCTTCTCTGCTCCCGCTCGTCCACCTCGTCTCGCCTCGCCTCGTCACATTCGCAACAGCACCCAACTCTCGCCGGCTATCATCTTCTTGTTGTTCAACTTCTTCATCTTCGTCCATATGCAATCGAGCGCCAGGCTGCTCGGCATCCTTCAGTAGTCACTTGGAACGCGTAACGCATCGGCGCCGCATCGAAACAGTGCTTGGGACGGCAACCTCGTCCTTTCTCATCGCTACGGCACCACTGATCGTGACTCGCCGCGAAAGGCGTGGATCAGCCATCGCCGCTTCTCTGTTCAGCATGGCCACATCGAATCTCCGTCAATAGCCGCATTGCACCTCCAATACAGCATACCTCGAGTCTGTCTCGTCCAACTTTCATCGCCTAGTGTCAGCCGCTGAACATCCGTTCGGCACTTGGCACTCAATCCAGCGACTCTTCCGGCCCTCGTCATGGCACATACGAGTCGTCCGCGCTCAGCTCTGTCACCGGTGCCTCTGAACCACTTCCTGCAACACTCGCCCTCCCTGGCGCAACAGACCTCTTGCTTTGTCCAGCTCCCGGTTGTCGCCTGCTCGCCTGCTACCATGATCTCACAAAGAATCCGTGCAGGTCTCAAGCGCAAGAAAGGCGCCCGCACCCGGTTGGCGAGCAACTCGTCCGCAGAGAATGCCTCGAACACAACGTCGACCCACAAGGATCAGCAGGATCGACCATATGCAACTTCCCCAGCTCTCGGTCGAAGCACCTCGCCGGCACGTCGCAAAAGGAACGGCGCTAAGCTCAACATCGTCGCATCTCCTCACCTTCCCCGCGACAAGCCTTCCTCTTCTGCCAGCGAGTTGTCTGAATGGTCTTCCGTCGCATCAGTCTCCCCTACCTCTTCGCGCGCACCTGTGCTGCGATCCGAGGATCATCTCGAGCCAGTCCAACAACGCCCTGGCATTCAGACGCGACGCTCAAGTCGCAGCTCGCTCCATCGCACTCTTGACGGCATGACGCTCGAAGATCGCCGTCCCCGTGCTACCGACCGATCCAGTCGATCGCAATCGGCATCGATGAGCAGGCAAAGCAGTAGCCGAACCGCTGGCAGCGCAGACCATGCGCATCCACAGCCACGCCAGCGTCGCGTGGCCAGCACCACCGCTGTGATCGACTCGGATCACAGCTCCGACGGCCCCGACGACATGGACGACGAGGAAGCCGAGCACGTGCGTCTCGTCGAATCCGCACCCACTTGGCAGCTCCACCGACTGCGCAGGGACGAACTCATCCAACTCTCTCAGATCGCTGGCGCATGGGATACGGACCCCACCGACGACCAGCTCGAGCTCCTCACCAAGCAGGATCTCGTGAATCAGATAATCACCAGTCGCTCGCGTCTCGATCGCTCACAGACCGGCAAGGAGCAGAATTCTGCCGCGGTGCAACGCCAGCGTCCAAGTCGTCAGGCATCCCACCGCTTCTCGGGACATGATGGCGGTGATGGCGATAGGTCCCTGGCCGATTCGCATCCGACCTCGCATCAATCTCAATCCACTTCGAATTCGGCATCTCCAGACAACTCCGACGATTCCAGCGAAAGCGACGCCTCGAATGAGGCTGGCGGCGAAGAGACGGAAGCCGAGCCCAGCCGCCTGCACAACCCTCGTCGACACATGGCTCGATACAGGCAAGGTGGGATTGAGGCAGACAATGCATTGCGTCGCATGGACTCGGCCACCTTTGACGAGGTGGAGCCTTCCAAGATGAACCAGGCACCGCGGCGTCAGCTACGCAACAAGACGGACGTGCGACGTGCAAACAGTCGCCGCCTGGGCTCGGATCTGCTTTCGGCCTCCGCCTCCTCCTCCATCTTCGGCGGGAGGAGCTCGCGCGCCTCGCAGAACTCTCACTCACCGTTCGTTCATCGATACAAGCCAAACGTCTTTGTGGCGTCGTCGCCCGTAAGGACACGCTCCCGCACCGCACGGACGACGCTTGGAATGCCGTCCAGGCGCAAGAATGCGTTGCGCGGCTTCGAGGCGGCTGATGGGGGCACTGCAGCGTTCGATCCCATGGCCACACCCAAGCTTGGCGGCAGGCGACCTCAACGCGGCCAGAAAGCCGTCCAGTTCCACATTTCTCCATCCGTCACCATCGGCGAACAGCAGGACGACGAATGGATGGAGGGCGATTCGACGGACAGCGAAGCTGTCGACGCTTCTTTGCAGACTGCTTCCCCGTACGCGGAGGATCGAAATGCTTCCAGTCGAACACTGGGCATCGAGCGAGGCACTCGCAAGGCCTCGCGGACTAGGCGATCGACGGCCGGGTCTGATACGAGCCTGACATCGCATCAGCCGCGCAGCCGCAGTGTCTCGATGGATCCGCCTTCTGAGCCCGATCTGGAGCAGGAGCACAGCGACGCTGACATGGCTACCTCGGACGACGATGCTCCCACTCCGACCAAATTCCGCAAATTGCGTAACGGCAAGCTTCGATTGGTCTCGGGATCAGCAGTGGGAGGTACGGATGCCAAAGACCTCGAGTCCGAGCGCATGGACGATGTCGACATGGAAAGCGCTTCTGAAACCACGACCGCTCCGGCACGTGCTCGCAGCGCTCGCACCGAATCTCCAGAGGATGAAGCGCCGCAGAATGGCGACTCGGAAGATTGCGAAAACGCCATGGTGGAGCCTTCCTTTGCGGCGCTCTCGCGGCTGCGCAAGGCGGCGCTCGAGCAGCTGTGCAACCATCGCGAGATCGACATCGGTGCGGACGACAAGAAGGCGAACCTCATCACCAAGCTGCTGGAGTGGCATCAACTCACCGCGCTCGAAGCTGCAGGAGAATACGGTTCAGGCTCGGATGACGAGGGCAGCGCGCTTCGACCGAGTGCATCCACGGTGACGATCGTCGGAGGACCCGACGAGATTCGCTCGAACGTCTCGACCGCCACTGCCACTGCCGATGACGAATCTGAAACGGCGGAGCAGCGAACGCCCACGCGCCGACGCAACGGCCGAGCCGGCCGTAACGCACGTCCTGCTGCTACGGACAGCGACCAGCCTCTTCTGCTGCGCGGCCGTGATAAGGGAAACACCTCGTCAGACAAGCTGCCGACGCCTCCGCTCACGTCGAACAACGAAGAAGCGCAAGCGCCGCAGGCGGGCGACGGTGTCGACGAGCTCAACGGGCTTGATCTTGAGAGCCTCAACCTGACGGACAAGGAGATCGCACCCTCGAAGCTGGAGAAGCTCGAGAAGATCGGCTCTGGCGGCTTCAAGGATGTGTATGTGGGCAAGTATCGCATCTCGAAGACGCGCGTCAACAAGGTGGCCATCGCCGACATCCGCGACCAGCTGACGGAGATGGACATCAAGGAGCTGAGCCTGCTTCGCGATCTGCGGCACGAGAACATTGTGCGCTTCATTGGCGTCAGCATCCCCGAAGACCCGCGTCATGTGCCGTGCATGATCGTGAGCGAGCTCTGCTCGAACGGCGACCTTTTCGACTACATTCGCAACGTCGAGGCGCCGTGCGATGCCGAGGTGTTTCGCATCCTGCTCGAGACGGCACGCGGGCTCGAGTATCTGCACACGCGCACGCCGGCCATCATCCACCGCGACTGCAAGTCGACCAACGTGCTGATCACGCGGCGCAAGACGGCCAAGATCAACGACTTTGGACTTGCGCGCGTCAAGAACACATCGCGCTCCATGATGCGCTCGCTCGTGGGCACGGTCAACTGGCAGGCGGTGGAGCTGTGGGTGCCCAAGCCGCACTACAACGAAAAGGTCGACGTGTGGTCCGCGGCCATGACGTTCTGGGAGGCGCTGCAGTGGCACCAGCCCGAGAAGAAGTATCCGTTCCAGGGCATGAACGAGCACCAGATCTACCAGGACGTCGGGCAGAAGAAGCAGCGTCCATACACGGGCGCCATCCGACGTCAGTTTGGAGGCGAGATCGTGGATCTGCTCGACCGCATGTGGGACCACGCGCCCAAGAACCGCCCGAGCATGACCGAAGTCTGCATCGAGCTCGAGGGGCTTATTCAGATGAAGAAGGACGCCGCCGCCGCCGCTTTGGGCCAGTCCAAGGTTTAGTTGGTTCCCGGAACTTCTTCACGTCGTCGCTCGCAATCGCATCTGTATTCTTGGGCCAATGTGGCTTCGAGTGTAGATTTCACTGCTGCGTGCGTAAGGGAAGGGGTCAGTGTCACTCGAGCTGAAAATGGTTTCAAATTGTTAGGGCTAAATGAGTAGACAGACCGAAAGTTGAAAAATGTCGGCGTCATTCCGCAGCGAGGTGGACACGTGTAAGTGGGCGAGTGCTGTCGGGCGAGAAGAAGAAGCGCTGGCGAAGCGTCGCGGTGGCACGCAGATGAAGAGCGAACGGACCCTTCGCCGTTGCTGGAGGTAGCCGGTGGAATGGAGTCCTCGCTTTGTGTCTGACCTCCAACCAACTCAGCGCAGCCGGACGAAGCTTGCGCTCGACTTCAGCACAAACTCTCTCTCTCTCGCAGACCTCAAGTTCCCGCCAGCCGCTGAGCGACAGCAGACGATGGCACTCTCGATCTTTGTGCCCATTGGGTACGTGGCGACGTTGGTGGTGTCGATGCTGGTGTTCTCGCGCATCTACCGGCGGCGATCGGCACTGAACCTGGCCAAGTCGTACCAGCCGTGGTTCCCGGAGGGTCACGAGGCGCGCGACATCTACCAGACGCTCGTGGCGGCCGACCCGCCAGCACCGGAGGAGGTGCTGAAGGCGGCGCTGCTCAATCGCGCCATGACGGACGTGCGCAGGATCATGCGCATGCGCGACGACAAGCAGGCGCTGGGTACACTGCTGCAGAAGGGATCGATCGGCGACGAGACCATGGCGCGCTTCACGCTGGCAGAGAAGGAACTCGAGGCCGAAATCCTCGACGTGGTGTCCGAGGCCAACACGTTCCGCGAGGGATGGGGTCAGCTCATCTTCCCCTCGGCGAGCGAAATGGTTGCGCACCTCAAGCACAAGGAGATCTACTACGACATTCAGCGTCAGCGCGCTGCCGAGGTCAAAAAGCTCGAAGACGAAGGAAAGCCGGTACCCAAAGCAAACGTCGAACTGCCACCGCTCGTTACGCCGCCCGGCACCAAGATCGAGATCCCTGGCGGTCCCGGCGGTCCCGGAGGCCCGATGCCTGCGCCGCCTCAGGGTGGCCCGGGTCCGAACGGCCCTGGTATCAGCCTGCCTATGACCGGATCGGGACAGGATGCGAGGGTGACGCTGCCCAACGGAATGCAGCTGCACCCGGCGCAATTGCAAGCGTTGATGCAGGGCCCACTGCCGCCCAACATGCCGCCACAGCAGGCTGCGATGCTGATGGAGGCACGCGCACAACTACTCGCGCTCCAGGAGCAGGCGCAGGCGCAGGCACATGCACAGGCACAGGCTCAACAGCAGCAGTTACAGCCGGCGGACGCGAACAAGGAGAACGACCAAACGCCAGCGGCCGCGCCGACGGAAGCAAAACTTGAGACGCACGCTGCACCCTCGACCAAGACAGCGACCGTCGAAGATGGCGATGACGCTTGAGCCTCAGCAGAGATGGTCTGTACTGCCCGATGGGGGCGGAGTAGCATCGGCGCACGCAATGACAATTTCGATCGATGAGGTGTGCACATGAGGAGCTGTGCTCGCAGAGAGAGGGTGTGTGTTCGGTCGGATTGAAGCTCAGCGCCGACGCTTCCCACGCAGCGCAGCGCGTTGGGTGCATCCGAACGCGCCTGCTGGCGAGCCGTTTCGGCGGCTCGTGTTCGGGAACATGTGCCGTCGCTCCAAGGATTCGCCTCACGCACCAATTTATTCCAAGCTCCGTCCTATAGTAGCTTCCCCGCGACGGCAGCATGTGTTCCACTTTGAGCCTCCGCGCTTGCTTCTTGCAGCCTCATTGTTTGCATTGCCGCCAAACACGCAATAGAAGCGATGGTGGATGCACACAATGGATGTAGAGACGCATCTGGGCGGGGATGTGTCTGCAAGTAGAGTTGGGTTCCTGAATCAGGTTCCGTCCGCGAGGGACCGAGATCCGCGCTTTGTCTCAAAAGCAAGGACAGTGAGGGCCCCCGCTCATGGCCGAGGATCTTGCAGCGCTTCCAACGAGCGAGACGCGTGCATGGTCAAGGGCCACTGCCGGCCGATCCACAGGCGACGTCGTCTGCGTCTCAACACCGATGCCGATGGACCTAATTTTCGCGCACTGTAGCTGGCCTCGCCTAACGTCGCAGCGAGCCCAAATCTTCTTCGTTCAGCGAGTAGTGGCCCAAAAAAAGGCTCGTTTCGCACTCGCTTCCGCTTCCGAAGCGGGTGTTAGTGTTCGGAATGGAGGCGACCAGCCAATTCTAGCATGTGATTGCAGACTGCTGTTTACCCTAGAAGGCAACTCATCAAAACGAGCGGAGATGACTGCAGTTCACGGCATCCAACAGCTCGACGATGCTGGACAAAGTGGCGCGGGCGAGTCGCCCCATCGTCCGAGCGAGTGAGCGTATTTGCGAGCAGACCTCGTTTGGATGTGCATGCCGTCTCCTGCACGCTGTTGTTCCTTGGCGTGGTTGAGGCTGAGAGTGAGCAGAGCCGCACCACCGCCGTGAACTTTTCTTCTTCTTCTTGCTTTTTTCGCAGCCCGACTTTGGCTGGAAGCCGCTGCTCCACGGCACTCGAGCACACGTCGACTCCGACTCCGACAACCACACGCATGCGCACACACGCACGCACGCGCACATACACGCGCGCTCAAGCACACACGACTGCGACCCGCCCTCTCTCCCTCTTTCCTCTCCCCTTTGAGCCAGCACACCGCCTCCAACCGCTTTGCCGTCTGCCAGCCTGTCGCGCAGAGCTTTATTCCCCCAGCAGCCCTGCACTCGCTCGCCCACCCCATCCTTCCTTTGACTGCTCAAACGGGTGCCCTGCCCACGCCATCGTAGAGACCCTGATTGATCACATTGGCGTGATTTTCTTGCGTCCACTGCATCGTTTCCTTCCCCCACCCATCACTCCGCCGTGCTTCATCTCGACACTCCAGTTTCCTCCATCGCTTCCCCTTTGATCGGCTCATCGGCCTCTCCGACGCCCTTTTGCGCGTTCGACCGCCGTAGCATGCATCGCTGAATTCAATCCTCTCCTCGCCCCCTCCCCCACACGCGCCTCATTTCGACCCACCCTCCCTCACACCTCGTCACGACTTCGTTCACGCTCCTTGCATCCCATCTCTCCCCTACGGCGCTGCACATCCGCTTGCATCTCGGCCCTCCCGCCGCACTTTCCGGCACTTCCGAGACCGAAACAATCGACGACCTGCGTGCAGACCAGCCCCTGCATCCATGCCATCGTCTGCTGTATCGATCGCAACGCCACATCTGCTGCCGAGTATCCACCATCACCCACGCCACCAGCCGACCCCATCGCCTTCGGCAAGTCCGACCCTCGCGTAGAGCTCTGGCCGCGACAGGATGACCTCCGCATCGGCTGCCGCCAGCTACGTCAACGATTTGCACTACCCATCACACGCGCACTCGTCGGCGCAGTCGCGTCTCGCCTACAACACCATGCCTGACGACCACGCACCGAGCACGGCAGACGACTCGGATGAGCCGCCCTCGTTCTTCGTGCGCGCGCTCTACGACTTTGAGTCTAACGATGCCAGCTCGCTCTCCTTCCAAAAGGGCGCGCTGATCGAGGTGCTCACCCAGCTCGAATCTGGCTGGTGGGATGGCCTCCTTGACAACCAGGTCCGCGGCTGGTTCCCCTCCAACTACGTAGAGCCCATCTCGGACCGCGAGGCCGCCGTCGAGCTTGCTGCCCGCGCACAGCTCACATCGAATTTCCACCTCGGCCTCTCCTCACAGCCCTCCGCCGACTCGGACTCGTTTGCCCGCCTCGGTTTCGGCTCCGGCTTCGATGGCCTCCAGGCGCTCATCAAGGGCGACGGCATCGGCAGCAGCGACGCCTTCAGTCAGCTCGCAGAGGCCGCCATGCTCGATCCATCACGACGCGTCTTCGATCACAACAGCCCCCAGCTCGCCGACGCTCACTCCGACGCATCACCCTATCGCAATCCGTCGGCACCCAACCATCTCGCCCCGGAATCCTCAGCCTCTGCCTCGCTCGCTGCCTTGTCCGAACATCGCCTCGCTCTCGAGCGCGACAGGGCCCGAGCTGCTTCCGTCTCGAATCCTGTAGAGGTCAACACGGGCGCGTCTACTTCTCTCGCCGCTGCTGCCGCTGCCGCCAGCGCTCGGCCCAGAGCCGCGACTGGCTCCAACGCCACCGACGCGTGGGCTCAAATCACCTCCACCAGCCGAGGAGCACGTACAGGAGCCGCGGCAAACCAGCTCCCCACGCTCGGCGTCGTCGGCCCAGAGTCGGGCGCCGAATCCTTGGCAGTCGCAAACCAGCCACCATCCGTGCTTCGCTCATCCTCTTCCGGCCAAAGCAGCACCGCAGATGCCCAACACCTCGCGCCAGACGGAAGTCGCACGCCCTCGCTCCGCACCAACGATTCGCGCCCATCTTCCAGCACCAACAGTAGGCCCACCGCCATCTTCCAGAACGGCAGCGCTCCTGTACGTGCGCCCGCCTCCAACGCGGTGGATCGCATGCCGGATCCTGTGACCGTACCCAAACCTTGGAAGGTGCGCCTCACCGACGACGAAAAGTACTTCTTTTTCGTGCATCGAAAGACCACCGAGATCCGATGGAACTACACCGACGCCAAGACCAAGCTCACCATCCTTTCCAACGTCACCCCGCGAAGTCGCTCTCCAGCGCAGCCCGCACGATCTCCGGCGTCCGCATCGACACTCAATGACCACACCAAAGCAGCATCCAGCCTAGGCGGATCGCGCAGCCTTGCTCAGGAGGTCTCGGAACTCAACCTCGACTCGGACGAATCGGATTTGGACGGCGATCTCAATCCACGCCTGCCAGGCAAGCCGCCCAAAATGGCTGCTACCGATGCAGCTCGCGGCGCTCACGCCTCGCTCGGCGCAGCAGCTTTTGCCCACCATCCCGCGCTGTCCCAACCACAAGCAGCGCCCGACACCCTGTCTCAGGAGGAATCGGCCGCCTATGACCTTCAGAAAGCCATGGCGCCATCGCCGGTAGCTCCCGTCAGCCTCCTGGTTCGTCACGCAAACGAGGTCATCAGACAGCTCGCAGCCATTGCGACCGAGCAGGTCGGCACAAATGGCCTCGCCGAGTCCGATGGACCTCTCTGGAGCCCACAGAGTGGCGTCTACCTTCCGAGGCTTGCGCATGCCACCTCAAGCGTGGTTTCCGCCATCCGCGACGTCTTGTACGCCACCGGCTCGCTCTCTCTCTCAACCAGCGATCTCGCCGCCATCTGCAAGCTCGTCTCGGCCTCCCCAGCCGAAGCAGACAGTCGCACCGCGCTTGCGCCCGATTCCCCTCTGGAGCACAAGGACATTGATATGAACCTACTGTCAAGCGTGCTGCAAGCCTCTCACGCTTCTGCCCACGGCAAAGGTGCCTCCACCGCACTGCAACGCTGCGGCGTTTATTCCAAGGATTCGCTTGCCCTCATCCCGAGCAGCCTGCACCCCGTCGGTCGTAAGCTCAACGCCGTCGTCTCGAAGCTCGTGCTTTCTTCGCGCCAGGTCATCGACCACACCGTCACACTCGCCTCGTCGCCCACCTCGAGCATGGAGAGCACCATGACCGACCTCGATGCCGACGTATTCTCCAAGCTCTATCAGTGCCGACAACGTCTTCGCGAAGACGCGCTCGAGCTCATGCGCACGCTGCAGAGCCTCAGCTCCGAGGCAGAAAAGGTCAGGAGCACTGCCCTCAGCGCTCCGCAGAGCCGCGGCTGGCTGCGCAGGGTCGAGGGCAGTCTCGAGAGCGACTTGGGGCTCAACGGCATAGGCGCAACCTCGTTCGGCAGCGGCATGGCCGCCTCGTGGCTCGGCAACGGCTTTGTGCTTCCGTCCAAGTTCGAAGTCGCCTTGATCAAGGCAGAGGGCAAAGGCACCCGCAAGCACAACCCTTTCGACCAACGCAGGGAAGCTGAGTCCGCAGTTGTCCGAGGCATGCTCACATTGCGGCGCATTCCGGACAAACGACTCGATCAGCAGGTGGTCGAGCAGGCCCAAAAGCTCTCCTCCCAGCTAGAAGCTACGAACGACGCAATTGGCGTCGCAGCAAAACCGGCTGCAGCCGCCCAATCTGCCTTGTCTCTTCTGTCTCAGTACGGTGCTTTCGAGGCGCTCATCGAAGCGATTGACCTTGCCTCGATTCTCGACGTCGATGGGCCCAGTCCAGGCGAAGCCAAGTCGTCGTCGATCTCGGCCCGCAACTTGACGAATGCGCAAAAGGCGCGCAGCCTGATGCGCCGCCTCGTGACTCTCAAGCAGACCGCCTACGACCTTTCCTGCTCCTTGTTCATCGCTGTGCAGGAGCATGGCGAGGAAACATCGACCTCAAGTGCGTCGTCGCATCTGCAGCGAGAGGCAAGCAGGCTGACCAGGCTGATCTCCACCGTGTCGAAGACGCTCGAGGAGCTTGTTCAGGTCGCTGAAGAGCAGCTGCGCGACGCATCGCCGTACTTGGGCGCTCGTGCGGCGGTGCACGGCTCCGAGGAGGGCTTCAGCCTGCCATCAACCGGTATCTTTTCTCGCAAAGTCAACACCACCAGCAACGGCCTGCACGAGGAGGTGGAGGAAATGTCACGCTACGCAGCCAACGGTGGCGCCGACGCCGAGGAAGAGTCCGAGTTCATGTACCTTGGCCCTGGCATCGCCGTGCCCAACGGGCCGAGAGCCAGGTCCGGCTCTCGTGCCACTACAGGCTCGACGGGCAACTCGCCCAGTACCAGCTTGGGCCCCGCACGATTCGGCATGTCGAACAGCTTCCGCAACAGATCCACCTCAGTCACGACCGGCGGCTCGTCGCGCTCGATGCAGTCATATACCGATGCTTCCAGCCGTATCCTCAGCCGTCGAGGCACCTTGGTGGACGGATCGACGGCCGAGAGCATCGACGAGGACAGCGAATCGGTGCGCACCGGCGGCGGCAAGCTGCGCCGGCTGCTGGGCGACGACGCGCCGCTCACGCACACCCTGACCCACGATAGCGAGAACAGCGCCGGCACCGGCAACACGGGTTCGACGCTGGCGCGTCGCAAGGAGGACGAGGTGCCGTGGTTCCTCGAGCCAGACTACATGGGCGACGACATTGTGATCGCGCAGGACGGCTCGGTCAAGGGCGCGACGCTCGAGGCGCTGCTGGCGCGGCTGACGATGCACAACTCGTTTGACGCGTCGTTCAACAACACGTTCCTCATGACGTACCGCTCCTTCACCACGACGCAGACGCTGCTCGATCTGCTGGCGCAGCGCTTCCGCATCTTGCCGCCCGACGGGCTGGACGAGGACGAGTTGGCGCTCTGGACCGAGAAGAAGCAGGTCCCGATCCGGCTGCGTGTGTTCAATGTGCTCAAGATGTGGCTCGAGATGCACTTTTACGAGGGCGAGGACGAGCCGTACCTGGACCAGGTGCGCCGGTTCGCGGTCGAGGAAATGGGCGAGATTGCTTCGATGAGGGCGCCCTCGCAGCACCTGCAGCGGCTCGTCGAGCGACGCCAGGGCGAGGGCGAGCAGATGATCCGCAAGATGGTGCTGCCTACGTCGGCCCCAGCGCCGATCCTGCCCAAGAACCTCAAGAAGATCAAGTTCCTCGAGATTGATCCGCTGGAGCTGGCGCGCCAGCTCACGCTCATGGAGAGCCGACTGTACAACAAGGTGAAGCCCGCCGAGTGTCTGGGGCTCAAATGGACCAAGCCGGGCAACGAGGTGCATGCCAAGGGCATCATGGAGAGCATCAACACGCACAACCGCATCTCGGCGTGGGTGGCCGAGACGATTCTGCAGCAGGAGGACCTCAAGAAGCGTGCGGCGCTCATCAAGCACTTTATCAGCATCGCCGACCGCTGTCGCGCGCTCAACAACTTTTCGGGCATGTGGGCCATCGTGTCGGCGCTTTCGACGGCGCCGATCCACCGGCTGCGGCGCACGTGGGATGCGGTCTCGCAGAAGCACGTGGCGGTGTTTGAGTCGCTCGAGAACCTCATGTCTGCCTCGCGCAACTGGGCCAACTACCGCGAGATGATCCACAAGCTCAACCCGCCGTGCGTGCCCTTCCTGGGCCGCTACCTAGGCGATCTGACGTTCATCGAGGACGGCAACCGCGACCGGCTCAAGGAGAACGACCAGCTGATCAACTTTGGCAAACGCCAGAAGACGGCCGAGGTGATCCGCGAGATCACGATCCACCAGTCGACGCCGTACAACCTGGCGGTGGTGCCGGCGCTGGAAAAGTACATCGAGACCAACCTGGTGGATGCCAGGTCCGCCGACGACCTGTACGAGCAGAGTCTGGCGCTCGAGCCGCGCGAGCGCGAGGACGAGAAGATTGCGCGTCTGCTGCAGGAGTCTGGCTTCCTCTGAACCAAGCCCAAGTTTGCTCTCACTCCCAGCACACAGCACAGGCAATGCCATGCGCATGTTGAGATTCTTTTGACGACCGGGTGTGTGGGCCGTGTGAACGTGCGATTCAGCGTGGCGGACGAGCTTTGCGGGCCGAGTCGTTGATGAGCTCGGCATCCTGCGTGGTGGGGAAGCCGATATTCCAGTATCCCTCCGGGGTCGCTGGGCGGGCGTGGGTGGTACGGTGACGGGAGCAAGCGTTTCTCTCTGCGTCGCCCGGGTTATTGGGGCGTAGCTCGTTGAGGTGCGAGTAGAACGAGGCGCAGTCGGGGCAGTCGTGAGCGATCATGGTGCGGCGCTGGATGCGCGACCGCACCGGTGTTGAATCGATCCATCCGACATCGCGCCGCGCGCCTGCGACGGGTAGGATAGGCTCGCTAGGTCCGCTCTCACCACCCACCGTAGGGACCTCCCGAGCGCTAGGGCCTGGAACAGGCTCGTTGATGTTGGCGTCAAGCTGACTTGAGGAAGAGGGGCCGTCTACGATGCCGGCCTGGATCCAGATTTCGCGACTTGCTGGATCGAGTTTGTTGAACGCACTGAGTGTGCTGGTCCGCTGTCGTCGAGGAGAGCTTGATTTGCCCAAAACAGCGGCGATTGGAGAAGACTTTGGAGAGCGCTGGCGATTGCTGCGTTCCTTTTTAGCGAGCGATCGCAGCCACCACTGCTTGAACGCGGCCCACGCCTCCTTTTCCTTCTCGTGCGCTGCTTCCCTGGCCTCAAGCTCCCGAACGCGCTGTTGGAGGTCGGCACAACTTGAGCACGACAGCTCTGACGCCTTGCGCGAATCGGAGTTGCCTTCGGCTGGCTGGGATGAAGAGGATTGCGCTGGGGCCGAGAGCTCGGAGAGGACGGCGCGCGGCGAAGCATCCGGAAGCCGGTGCACAAGTGCTTCAAGTTGCAGCATCGTAGCACTTAGCCTCCCCACGCATTTCTCGAGCTCGGCGCGTGTTGGAGATGGCCCGTCGGCCAAGGCATGGACGGACGACTGTCCTTGACGAATCGGTGCAGCGACAAGCGATGTAGAAGGATCGCGGCTCGACGATGCCGCAGAGCGCTTGCGCTTGAGTGGACTGCTCATGCTGACGGAGCTTTGAGTAGCAGATGGTGTCGATGGGAGTGGTAGCGGGGAGAAAGCAACTCAGGCCCCCCCAAAAGTTCCAGGTGCCAACGGCGCGCAGCGTTGGACCCTTGCTCTTACGGGGCGAAAATGCCTCCACACCAACACGCACACGTCTGGCGTAAAATCACACGGCTGACACTCAGCCACCTGCTCAGCACCCCACTGCCAAAACATCCCACAGTGTGTGCTCAAGCTTGTCATTGCGATGTGTGATCGGCCGGCATTTACGACCACCCCATACCCTCACTGATCTTGTGCGCCAGGGCGCGCTTCATGAACTGCTCCCTGGCGAGCATCCTGGTCTGCTTGAGGAATCGATCGAGGTCGATGCGCTCGGCATTGAGCGCCCTGCCCAAATGATAGAGCGTGTCCTCGATAGCGTTGTCCTCGGCGACCAGATCGACCAGCTGATTGCCCACAATGCTCGTAGCCAAGACCATGCTGTCCGGATCCGGATCGTCTCTGGCGTGGATGGAGCGAACGGACTCGGTGATCTCGTCGACCGAGCCCTGCAGCCGGTCGCCTGTGATCTTGCACACGTCTCGCACCGCCTTGAGGCGCGACATTTCGTCCTCGATGGCGGGCAGCCCGCGGTCCAGATCGCTCGAAAGCACCTCGAGCCGCTGGTTGGAGGCTTGCAGCGTTGACGAGAGCGTGACAAGTCGCTGGTCGATCTTGACGTACACGCGCTCGTGCAGCGCCAGCAGTTCCGGGTTGATGGGCCGCGGCGGCGGTGGTGCCGACGAGCCAGCCGACGTCGGCCCACCGGCCAAGGCGATTCCGTTGGCCTGTCCGCGGGTATCGGAGAGTCCGAGCGCCGAGTCCTCGTCGTCGAGCAGGTTGACGCTCTTCGGTCTAGGTGCAGCGGCCGGTCGCGCCGGCACGCCGTTTCGATCGGCGACTCCTGCCGCTGCTGGATTCGGCGCCTGAGACGCGCTTGCAGATGCATACGGAAGGGGCCCAGGCACCGGCGGTGGTCCGCCTCCGTTGGCGCGCGGCAGACCTGGCTGTGCATAGCCCTGAGCGACTGGCAGCCTCACACCTGCCTGAGCGGGCTCGTTGTCATGCTGCGTGTGGCTTGGGTGGGGCTCTTGCGTCGGGTACGGATACGTTTGCGCACGCGTCGGCGGATGCTGCTGCGGAGTCGACTGATGCCCGTGAGCGTACGGGCGACCTTCGGCGTATGCTGGCCGGTGGGAGGGCGATACCGGCGAATGGCTCGACTCGATGCGCGGTTGCGGCCGATCCGCGGGTGCGAAGTGGGCTTGCGGCGATGGCGCACCAAAGGGCGCTTGGTACACGCCTGGGCCGTATGCACCGCCCGATGCGCGCCTGTTCACATCGGGCCCAGCGCTGGGCGGATGACTGAAGGTGTGTGGTGACTGAGTTTGAAGCGCAGGAAGTGGCGCTGGCGACTGGTGAGGATCAAAGTGCGAGCTCGAATTGCGTGGGCTGTGAAACCCGCCTCGGTCGAAGCCCATGGACGACGAGGGCTTGGGCGGACGCTGTGGCGTGAAACTGCCTTGTGGGTGATCGTGGTGAGCGGAGTCAGGCCCTGGTGGCGGCGGAGGCGGCTTTTGTCTCGTCTCGAAGGACGGGGATCCGACAACCTGAGGCGATCTTGGAGACGCCGGCAGCGACGGGCCTGGGCGCTGTGCGAGGGGGTTGGCGCTGGAACCTTGTTGCGGCGTGGATGGCTGCGATCGCTGCTGCGACGAGGCAGCGGTAGCATACACTGGCGTTGGCTTCGGCTTGGCGTACACGGGCGGCTCGCGGCCAAACATATGCTGGCAGTCGTGGATCAGGTCGAGCAGGTTGCATGCCTCGGGCTTGCTTCTCCACCTCGCGATGTAGTTGCCCCCGATCTCGCCGCTGGGGTCCACATTGGGTCCTTTGCGAATGGCCATGTCTGGCGTTGGCGCCACGAATGCCATTGGCGGCTCTCGCGGATAGTCTCGGGGGATCCAGTAAGCGACGGGGATGTTGTAGGTGGTGTTGCGGAACTCCACGGGCACCGTGCCCTCGAGCGTGAGCAGCAGCTGTGTGCGACCATCGTTGAAAGTGAAGACCTCAGTCTTGGGCGAGAGCGATGACACAGCGATCAGCGCTCGATCCACGTCGGCGTATACGCGGTCGCGATCGTTGTACGGACCGAGCACGCTGCGCAGCCACCTCTGCACCACCGCATGGTCCATATCCGCAGCACCTCCAAGTGGACGCTGACGAAGCTTCGGGGAGGGGTGAAGGAGCTCAAGGTCGGAAAGAAGCCGCAGTTGTGATGGCTGCCGGGATCAAGGCGGATGGGCCGGCCGAGCCAGGCGAGTCGTCGCGATAGCCGCCCCTCCACGGCGTTCGGCTGGTCCGTTCACCCCGCCTCCCACGAGGCGAGAGCAACAGCACCGCCAGGCCCTGATTCCCCGGGGACTCCGATGTCTTGGCGCATCGGGCAGCCAAGGATGCAGCTGCTCCGATTTCGATTTACGCTGCTCTCCCCTCCGATGGGAACGCTGAGGTGATCCGAAAATCCTGCCGACGGGCCGTGGCTTCCAACTGCATGGCAATTTCTCCACCTCTCGCATTTTCTCGGGTCAGCCGAACGTCGCCATTCGTCTTTGTCCACGTCCAGCATCCTCGGCCTTCACTGCGACCGTAACTGCCATCAGACCACGGCGAGCCTCCTGCTCAGCGTATCAATCGGCACCATGCGAGCGTCGCTTCCACAGACTGCCCTTCGTTCGGCTTCGAGCCGGCCGTTGGCTGCGCCAGCTCTGCACACTTCGTCGCGCGCCGCCCTCTCGATTCAGCTCGCTACTGCTCCCACATATCTGGGCCAACGACGAGGCCTGTTCGGCTTCTCGCTCTTTGGTGGTAAGAAGAGCAAGAAGAACGATCCCTTCGCCCTCCCTCCGCGCGCCGCCAAGAAACCGCTGCTCGCCCAGGATGATCTCTTCCACCCTTTCTCCAAGTCGCCCATCCCCTCGATCCGCGCGCGCGGAGAGCGCATTCGCTCGCTGGCACCCTGCCCCGTCAGCATGTCCAAGTACAAGGTCAGACGTCTGGTCAACTTTGAGTGCCCCGACTGCGGTTGGCCCACGCACTATAGCGAGAAGGAGTGGGCCGAAGACACCGAGCATGGCAAGTACGTTGCCCGTCTGCGCGAGGCCAACGAAGACGAGCACGACCTCCGCAGCGGCCGTGAGATGTCCGAATTCAAGCTGCCGGGCCCGCAAGGCTTCGAGGAGACCATCAACATGTCCAATTGGGACGTCTTCTTCTACACGCGCAACTTCAACTCAATAGAGTCGGATCGCAGCCGACGCCATGTCAGCAAGCTCCTCACCTTCCCCACCACCATGGGCGCCGTCATCCACGAGAACAGCCCCTTCACCAAAAAGTCGCGCAGACTCACGCACGAGGGCCTTCGCAGCATGATCGCCCTGCGTCAGACCCTTCACCCCAAGGCAGGCGACAAGCCTTCGCTCGACAAGATGCGCATCTTTGTCGTCGGCGCACGAGCCGAGTCGACGCTGCCCCCCGCCGTGTGGGACCAGCTGACCTACATGTTCCCCGGCGTCCCCTTCCACCTCTTCCTCATCGGCCCCGAGGCGCACATCCCCACCGACAAGCAGGTGCAGATGCAGGATCGCGCCGCTCCGGGATCCGGAGGCATCTCGATGCACAAGGGCCGCGTCCGAACCTCAAACTACGGCGTTCCTTCGCGCACCGTCGTTGTTTCGGAAGGTCTCACCGTCACTACCATCCAGTCCAAGTACGAAGACGTGCACGCCCAGCTCGAGCCCTTCGACGCCTACACCGACGTCTTCTTTGCCTTCAGCCCTGGCTTCGGATTCCCCTCGCAGATCGCCGTCGAGGAGGCCGACCAGGTACGACAGGACGAACGTGACCACGAAGCGCACTTTGCGCGTGCCAAGAGCACCTACCATGCTGCTGGCGCTGAGAGTGCCGAGTCTACCGAGGCATCGGCGCAGAAGGCGGCTGACGATGCCGTGGAGCTGGCCAAGGCGCAGATCGTGGAGCAGCAGCAGCAGACCGGTGCCTCGGGTGCAGTTCCCGACGCTGCCGCTTCGCCGAGCCGAGCGGCGTACACGGTAGACGCGACATCGTCGCCCGAGGGCGGAGACGTGCCTTCGGAAGAGCCTGCGCCTGTGCTCGCGTCTGCGGACGGACACACGTTCACCGCGCTGACTGCGGCACCAGTGGTGCAGGCTCAGCGCGAGTGGGCGCGGGCCATCGGCCAGATCCTCTCGACGCGCTGTGCGCTCATCGCCACGGGCTTCTCGCCCGCTGATGTGGAGCGCGACGTGCTGGCGTTCGAGAGCGTCGACGGCGTGCGCGGCGAGTTCGACTGGCTCGTCACGCCCGGTGAGAACCCGTTTGCGTCGCAGCAGTGGGCGGTGGCCGACTTTGATCCTCGCGTGGCCGTCAAGGCCAACTGGGGCATCTGGGCCGTCCGAGGAAAGCGCTACGACATCCAGGGCCCCACCGGCTACTGAGGCGGCACCAATATGTCGAAATGTCAATCATCATCACATCGTATCTCACTGCTCGCATGGACCACAGATAACGACCTGAGCAGACGAGCGCGATGGCGAGAAATGACTGTTTGTGAGATTGCAGCATCGGCAAATCGGCGGAATTCAAAGAGAACCTTCCTTGATGCGTTCCCAGTACCACCGAGTCATTTCTTCGAGGCCGTCCTGGAGCTTCCAGCGCGGATGCCAGTCTAGGAGGCCCGTGGCGCGTGTAATGTCGGGCTTGCGCTGCTTGGGATCGTCTTTGGGCATGGCGAAGAAGCGAATTTCGGATTTGGCCTCTTGTTCGCCCGGAGCGCGCACCGAGGCATGCGTGTCTTGCGCCTTGACCTTGTGGACGCACACTTGGACAAGGTGGGCGAGCTCCATGATGGTGAATTCCGCCGGGTTGCCCAGATTGACGGGCGTATGCACGTCGAAGCGATGAACGTGCCTCGGGTCAAAGTAGCCATCGCCCACAGCAGCGGTCGAAGCGGCGGTGATGGTCTCATCAGCGGGTGTCGCGACGGTGGAGCGGGTAGGGATGATGGAGTCGGGCGCTTCGGTCATCATGTCGACTGCTGAAGCGCCCGGTGGCGCACGCGACTGTGGTGCATCGTCCGCCGGCAATGGCTCGACGTTCATGAGCGATATTAATCCGTCGATGAGATCATGGATGAACATGAAGCTTCGTGTCTGGGTACCGTCTCCGAACACAGTGAGCGGCTCGCCACGCAGGGCCTGCAGGATGAGATTGCTGACTACTCTGCCGTCGTGCGGATGCATGCGCGGTCCGTACGTATTGAAGATGCGAGCCACTCGAACGTCGACGCCATCCTGGTAGTAGTAGCCATAGGTGAGAGTCTCGGCGACGCGCTTGCCCTCGTCGTAGCACGCGCGTGGACCGACAGGGTTGACGTTTCCGTTGTAGGTCTCGGGCTGCGGGTGGACGTCTGGGTCGCCGTAGACCTCCGAGGTGCTGGCGAGAAGGAAGCGAGCCTTGGTACGCTTGGCAAGACCGAGCGCGTTGAGCGTACCGAGAAAGTTGGTCTTGATGGTCTTGATCTGGTTGGCCTGGTAGGAGATGGGGCTGGCGGGGCAGGCGAGGTGGTAGATCTGATCGACCTCGATGACGAGGGGCTCGACGACGTCGTGGCGGATGAGCTCAAAGTTGGGATGGCCGACCCACTGCGAGACGTTGGTTTTCTGACCGGTATAGAAGTTGTCGATGACGAGCACCTCGTGGCCCATGAGCATGAGGCGATCCACCAGGTGAGAGCCGACAAAGCCTGCTCCGCCTGTGACGAGGATCCTCTTCTTCTCCTCGACGGGCAGCACGCGCGTTGGCAGGTAGCCGTAAGACGATGGAGCGCCGCCGAGCAGGCCATGATGTGCCTCCATTCGGCCGATACCGAGGCCGTAGGACGAAGCCCTCGAGCCTGGTGCCGCGTGGATGTAGCTCAGCTGGCGTGGCTGAATGGACGATGGCAGCGGAAGAGCCGACGTCGCTCCGAGCTCCTTGAGCGTCAGTTGCGAGAGCGCCGGCGACGCCTGAGACGCGGGTGACGAGTGGGCCTGCGTATGTGCCTGTGCTTGAGCTTGAGCTAGGATGCTGGCGTGGGAGCCGGGATGCGAGTTGGCGACGTTTGGGCTCCAGAAGGACGAGGCAGCAGCAGCTCTTGCGTTCCGGCTTGCGTTGCTGTCGGTGCGTCTGTGGCTCTGCCAGAGTGACGAGGTCGACTCGCGCCGACTCGCTGTAGAGGCGTGAGAGAAGGCTGCATCTTGGTTCGGGCGATCCGAAAGGCGGTCCGACGGATCGAGTGTCAACTCGGACGAGGGCACCAGGACACCCGATCCTAAAGCCGGGCGATAGTAGAGAGAGCGCAGATGGTCAAGCGGCACATGATGATCGGGCGCCTCCGGATGATGGTTGGCAATGTCGCCAACTTCGGTCGGACGATCCATTGCGCTGCTCATGAGGGCGAGAGCATGCCCCGGATGGATCTTCGCCTTGACGGTTGCAGTTGCAGTCGTGTCCGAGCGAGCCAACCAAACGCATCCAGGGTCCACACGGAATGGCTTGAGCCCATAGCGGCCTTCGTTCCTGTTTGCGTTGCGATTCACGTTTGAGAAATAAAAATGATGCGACGCCCGAAATTGCGGTCTCAAAAACTGGGGAACGAGGCGGAAGAGCGCAGCCAAGGCTGCGCGACTGCATATCGCATATGCAGCGGCACCTCCACTCTAGCGGATGCCGGTCGGACCGCCATTCCAGCGCCTGAGGACTATGCACCTCGCCTGAACGTACAACAAAGGCAAACGCTGCACCACCATCTCTCCTCGGTCAGTCACAGCCTGGTACACACCCAGCCTGTTCCACTCGCGTCCATAGATGGAGGCAACCTCTGCGGAAGCGCCTTTGGCCGCCGAATTCAAGCCGCATGTCCCCAAGGATGGCCTGCCTCCAAGCCACCACGTCCTCGCGCCCGCCCCAGGCACCACCTTCTCCTCCTATCTTCCCCACTGGAACGCGCAGCCCACCTTATCCGCAGCACAACAGGATGTAGAATCGGCACAGTCGGCTCAGGTACAAAATGACTCGTACGATTCCAATCTCACCTGCTTGCCCAGCTCCATCGCCCTCGTAGACTCGGCCAAAGTCGTCCGCATCGGCTTTCGCAATCCGTGGCCAAGCTGGCACAAGCCTTCTCTCGCAGAAGTATGGCAAGGCCTCGAGTGGGGAGAAGATCAGGATCCAGCCATCGACTATGCACTCCAGGATGCCGACGTAGCACGCAACGCACGCACCGATCTGCATCAGGTCGAGTCCGAAGCCCCTTACCAAGACAGTCGCCCTGGCACTCCCGACCAAGATGGGGACAGACAGCCCGCATCCAGCTCTCTTGAATCACGCACCATTAGTGCGACACAGTATACCCGATCCGAAAAGATCAAAATCGCTTCCAAGCAACTCCTCTCCGTACACGAGCCGTCATTCGACTTCGACCACACCAACGACAAGCTCAAGGCCACCTGGCTCGGACACGCCGGCGTCCTTCTCCAGCTCGCTCCACTCGAGCCAAAGCAAGAGCCCATCCGCATCCTCTTTGATCCCATCTTCTCGCAAAGATGCTCGCCCATTCAACTCGCAGGCCCCATTCGCTCCTATGCTGCTCCATGCGCCATCTCCAGCCTCCCTCCCATCGACCTGGTCGTCATCTCGCACAACCACTACGATCATCTCGACTACGACACCATCAAGGAGCTCTGGGCTGCCAACAAGGGCCGCATCCGCTTCGTCGTGCCCCTCGGCAACAAGGACTGGTTCGTGGGAGCCAGCACGTTCGAGCAGGCAGAGCCGGAAACAGCATCCACAACCTCGTCCTCTTCTTACTGGACACTGGCACCGTCCTCAGTGACTACCGCTGCCACCACATCCAACCTCTCCATCCTCCCAGACAGAGTTTCGGAGCTGGACTGGTGGGACGAGATCCTCTTCTCCCAACCTGGCTCGACTGGCAAGCAGCTGCGAATCGTCTGCACGCCTGCACAGCACGGATCTGGGCGGTATGGTGTGGATGCCAACTGTGCGCTGTGGTCGTCCTGGTTTGTCGAGCACCCCGGCGTTGATGGCGCACCGCGACCGATCCGAGCATTCTTTGGCGGCGACACAGGCTGCCAATTCCACGGCCGCGCTTTCCCACCGGCTCCGCCGCGCCCGACAGAGGAAGATTTTACCCTTGCCACGCCAACCTCGGAAGCGAGCGACGGCGGCTCGACGCTTGCAGAACAGGTGCAGGCACCCACCTACCGAGGCGGCATGCGTCTGCAGGTGCCCAACGACGACGAAGAGTATCCGGCGTGTCCCGCGTTCGAAGAGATCGTAGCACGTCTGGGAGCGCCCAACTTCTTCATGCTGCCGATCTCGGTGGGCGCCACCATCTCCTTCTTACGCTCCTATGTGCCGCTGCCCGACTCGATCTCGCCCTTCCCGCGTCTCTCGGCCGGGCTCACGGCAGCCAACCACATGCCGCCTTGGGATGCGGTCGGCATCTTTGACAAGATGACTTCGGCGGGCGTTGCGAGCGGTTCTTCGCCCGCAGATGCGGTGTGCCTGGCCATCCACTGGGGCACCTTCATTTCGGGACCGGAAGAGGTGCTCAAGACCCTCGGCCAGCTCAAGTGGGCGTGTCACCAGCACGGGATCCACTTTGCTCGTGACTACAACGCCTCCCTAGACCCTCCATCCGCCAAGGGTCGTGCGGGCAACAAGACCTTTGTCGCGCTCAATCACGGCGCCAGCCTCACCTTGTGAGCTTCTCATGCCACACACAGACGCTCGACAAGGTCACTCGGAATCAGACGGAAACGCAAACGGAAGGATCGGAATGACAACATTCGCAGTGATGCCATAGACAAGCCACGATGTGCCCTTTTTGTATTGTTGGAATGGACAATGCGATCCACGGTTCAGTGTCTGTCGTGTCCGTCGGGCGTCTCGGTCTTCATATCGGCGTGCGAGCCCGGTGTGCTGTTGGATGCCTGTGCCTGTTGGCCATCCATCCCGTGAGAGCTTTGCGCGATCGCCTCGATCAGCCCGCCCCACGGCAGCAAGCCCCAGTCGCTTGGGGCTGCGGTCGCGTTTGCTGCGCCGCCGGCGCTCAGATCCCCAGCCTTGCCGTTGGCACCGTTGCCCGGTGCGCTCGAAGTCGGCACTCCAAAGCTGTTGAAACTGCCGGCCGTGTTGAGCGCTCGCAGGTGCGGGTGCGCACTTGGCTGGAAATTCGGAATGCCGCTCTGCTCCGAGGACGAGGTGGCCGGGATGTTGATCGAGTTGGCGCTGCTGCGCGCCATGCCTGACGACGTTGGTGCGGTCGATGTCTGTGCAGTCGCTGTCACGCTGGGCGACGGCCCTCCAGATCCGGGAGGAGGCGTGTTGAAGTAGCTCGCCAGGTCGAAGCCTGCCGCCGAGTCAAAGCCCATGCTGTTGGAGGTGTGGCTGGGGCCAAAGCCGAGTCCGGAACCGGCGTTGAAGTTGAGTGCGTCGTTTGGCGTCGGGTTGAGCATGCCAAAGCTGGGCTCGAATCCGCCAAGCTGGTCGAAGATGCTCTGTGCGAGATCGGTGGCTGCGTCGCTCGTGGTCCCTGTCGAGACGGTGCCGAGCGCCAGACCTGGAGCACTCGCGCCCGCGGTGCCTCCAAACAACCCGGCGAACGGCGGCGGGGTGGTGCTTTCTGAAGTGTTGACAGAGCCAGCGCGGGCCAGCTGCGAGGCATTGCTCTTGGAGCCGCCGTTGCCGAGCAGCATGGCCGAGCTGAATGCAGCCGTACCTACACCAGCCGTGCCGGTGTCTTGACTGCTTCCTCGCTTCGAGGCCGCATCCTTGGAGCGCGCTGCCTTGGGCGAGCCATCGTCTGCTTTTCCCTTTGCGTCGCCACCCGCCGTGCGTTTGCTGGCGCCCGTGGCCGAGGTTGCACACCAGGTTGGATCGCGCGCCTTGGCTCGGAAGAGCTCAATGATTTTGACCTCACGCTTGCTGCACTGGTCGGCTTCGCCTTCGCGATGCTTGTGCAGCTCGATGAATTCGTCCAGGTAGGATAGGAAGTCGGGCGCTTCCGATCCGTTGGGATCGAGCAGAAGTGCGATGCCGATCATCATGGTGGCGTTAAAGAGGCGATAGAGGCCGCCCATGTGCACCTTGCGCGCACGTTCTGGCTCCCACTTGACATCCTTGCGGTACTCTTGTCGCACGCGTCGATCCGTCTTGGCGCTCTCGAAGGCAGCCTTGCGCGAATGCGAGTACTTTTCGGAGTTGCGCAGGACGTACGGCCGGTGCAAGGCGATGCGCACATAGTGGTATTCGATGTTGAGCAGGTAGCGGTGCAAGGGAAGCCAGGGGCAGACGCTGTCGAATTCCTTGTTGGTGTCAGGCCCGGATCCGTCGGGGGCCTTGTCGACTCGGTAAATGTCCGGAATATCCTTGCGGAACTTCTCGAGCTCCTCGTCGAGGGCCACGACGTCGGCGTAACGGCGCGGGCTGGCGAGGTTCTGAAAGTGCTCGACGATCTTGCCGGTCAGTCGGGTGAGCTCGTGACGGATGGCAACAAAGAGGAAGACGCCGGGAGGCGTGTTCGGACGCGGGCGAGTGCGCGGCAGGTAGGGACGAGCGGAACGAGGCATGGTGTCGATGTCGACATCGGAGGGTGGGAGCGTGTCGCAGTGAAACTCTTGGATAGCCTGCGGTCGGCCAAGAAGGATGCTCGTGGTCTTGTCCATGTAGAAGATGATGGCCCAGAGGCGTCGCCTTCGCTCGGTGGTGATGGCATCGAGGCCGAGCTTGCTGCCGTCGCGATGCAGGCCGATTGCCTGTGCGGCGCGAATTGCGTTTCCGAGGAGCGACCAGCTCTCTGCGCTCTGGCGCTGGCATATCAAGAAGCGGGCGGCAAAGAGATGAGCGAGGACAAGGTCGATGTGGTCGACGCGGATGGTGGAAGCGATGTTGATGGTGCGACGACATGCATGGTACAGACGAATGGCGCCCTTTTTGGCTTCGGCTTCGGATCCGAGGGCCTCGGGAAGCGAGCGCATGGCGGTGGCGAGGATGGCAAAGAGGAAGGCGAGGAAGGGGACGTGTCTGGCGCCATCGTCGCCGCGCTCCTCCTTGGCGTTGCCCCAGCGGAAGTCCATGAGCTCTTCGTAGGACTGGCGGAAGGTGCCTTCGTGGATGGGAAGACGGGTATGGTTGATGTCGCGAAAGTAGATGTCGAGCAGACGGTCGGTGTCGGCCTTGGAGGGCAGCGAGTTCATGAGGTCGCTGAGGATGTTTTCCGGAGCGCCTCCCTCGTGGATGAGGCGATGCAGCTTGACCGATGCAGGGAAGCGGGGGAAGTTGGCGCCGAGCTCGAGACGCTCTCCGTTGATCTCGGTCTCGATGACGCCTCGGCTGACGGAGGGGAGGGCGAGGG